TATGTTCTCACAGAAGACTTCGACACATACATACTCGACTCTTCCACGCTCTAGAAGATATTAAGTACTTTTTAAGATAAGCTTATTTAAGATAACTAGTATAATGACACGTATCTTAACCAGCATGATAGTAAAGATACGTCCGCATCTACCATCATTTTTTTTTCGCTGTGACCATAATTAATCGCCCAACGGCCTTTGATTTTGATTAAAGCTTCGAGATGAGGTGGCGTGGCTCAGAGTGGGGATTCTGGTTCAGTATCGCGTCTTTCGTGCTATATGAGATTACAAAAGTCTGGAAAAACATGTTGCAGCTGGTACTCGGTGGTATATCTCCAAACTTTGATAAAATTTTAATTGGAGATGAGTGGAAATGATAATATGCTGCTTGTGATTGCATCGACGCTGCTGAAAGCACTAAAAACCTTACCAAAGGTGAGTATTGGATCAAAAGGTCCAAGCTTGTTAACACGTGGAGGTTTTTGTCGCGTCAAACAAAGCGATGAAGACGGGGTGACAAGGATCCCCGGCGGAGCTTATAATGCCATTTCTTGAATTCTACCAGCACAACGTGTGTACAAAGCCGGAATCTTGTTATTTAACCCCTGGTACATTGTTGCGCGAAATGAAAAAAGCTCGCAACGGACCTAATGAAATTAATATGCTCATGACACAATTAGATTCAAGTGAGGGAACAACGACTCAGAATTGCGTTAAAAATTGATGATCAAGGTATATGTCATTTGGCATGTACAGCCGACACTATCTTGACCGATATTCGCGGCACTGAAATAGTCGTTAATGGCGCGAGGTCAAATACACTGCTAAATTGCAGCTTTTCGTCTTGATTAATTCCCGAGAACATTGATAGTATGAAAATGTGGGATCTTCAAGTCTTAATATTGCCTGGTGAATAAAATCTATACATCAGCACAGTGAGCAACACTCTATCATTCTTGTGGATTATGCTGAAAGGATTTTGAAACTTGCAAATGCAACGTATGGCCGAATTGCAGTACCTCGAGGTCTATTTTTGCCTTTACTCACAAGAATTGCTGTTTAAGAAGCGTGTGCTTGCGTGTGTCATTGGCCGACCGCAACACAACTGTGCAATTTGTCGCGGCCTGCGGCATTCAATTGATATACAAGCGTATCCACAAGTCGGCAAAGGGATAAATTAACTCTTATATAATACTCGAATATCCTTATTAATGCGCCTAAGTTACGGCAGCTTGCAGGACTGATAAAGACGAATATTTGGATGATGGTGGCAACCTCTAGCTTACAAGACGGAAAATGGTCACAACTCGGCTTTGTGTGGGCATGTGCTTATGAGTGTTACTCAGCTTATATGTAAGCTCTTACTTATCCCAGACAGCATTTGATCGCTTGCGTAGAGATGGCTACAATGAAAACATCATTTAACCGTGCTGATACGGCATCACTTGTGTCACGGTTGCTACAAGCAATCGCAAAATTTTATGCGTATACGATCGTGCCAACTTGCTGAATGATCATTCTTGCGCACTGCAGCACCACTTTCTAGCTGCAAGACATCGGCCATTGCTAAATAAATCTTTGAGACCAACAACCAACATCTTCAAATTTTAAGCAGGAAGCGGGCCAGGACTAGTGTAGATTTGTTGATCATGGCGCTGCCCTCGCAACTCAGATCACAAATCGGGATCGGTTACTTGATGCGTCTTCATCGGACAGATGTCCGTTCAATAAGTTTCGTCACGGATCGCTCGTTTCGTGACGAAACTTATTCTGTCTAAATGAGACGATTCTCCATCAGTACAAAAGTAGACAAAACTTTATAATTAGGACCACATGTAGAGTCCAATCCCATTTAAAGTGTTGGGGCTGAGGAGCCCAACCTTAGTCTGTAATAATTCTTTCGGAAAAACAAAAATCACTTTGTCGCTTAAATGCCACTTTCAGAGTCGATGCCAATTTCGAGATATCATGGGGCAAGAAACATATCTCCTTTTGATTCGAAATACATCAGTGCGCGAGTCATGCAGCTCGATTACCACATTATTTAGAGTTGTGTGTACGATCAAATGCGAGTATATGTGCATCACGTCGGATGCAGCCTTAACCATTGATTAAGATTCTAAATAGTTTGTGCTTCGATTCTTGATCGGAAATTATGAGGAAACATAAAAACTTATAAGATTTTGTTGGAGACAAATTTTGACTGTTCGTTATGACGTTCCGTGCTTCATTTTTATGTCCAAGCGTTTTATGCTGGACGCAAATGTGGAACGATTTTAGCGGAAAAGTGAACTATATACACTATAAATTAGTCACTCTATTCACTCGACAGCTATGACTTTAGTGAAGCTCTTATACAAATGCAATTTTTTATTTGGAAAGTTGCTACAAAGAATACTTGTGATGTTCAAGAGCACCAAGAGCATTTTTTTGTCACCAGTACAATTCTCGGAGCATCGATAAAATAAGGTCCAGCGCAAAAACTATTCTCGTTTGATTTACTGGTAATATTAATAACATCTCAGTTTGGATATCCATTCTTGAAATTTCCAACGAAACTGTAGAGCCCAAGACAGATATCTTAGCTTTCAAACTGGTTTGGCTTCTTGTTCCTTTAAGGTTTCAGACAATCGCTGATCAATATAATTACAAGCTTCAATTTTGATCGTGCTTGTTTTTTCTTCACGAAAAAATACGTCGCCGTTGTAAATGACCCCACAATTTGTGGTATATTCGGACCAGGTATTTGAAATAATTATAGTTATCGACTTTATGATCATGTTCACCTTTTGCCTCCTGTTGCTCATTTATCTGCGTCTGAAACGCCACGTCGCTTTGAAAGGAGATGCACAAGCGACAAGTGAAGTAATTTTGCCAGCTTTCGAGCCACTTTTGTGGATTCTTGCAGTTGTCACCGGAGGCTTTACACTATTTTATTTCATCGAAGATTCCCGGTTTAGAATCCCATATCTCGTCCTTGAGGTTTTCTACGCTAGTCGCATGTTTGTCTTCATGCTTGCGATCGTCTACATGTGTCAAAAAAGTGTGTCGGTGCCTGCTCTTGGTCGTGCTGTGGTCAAGTCGGTTCTTCTCGCTTCGTACACAGTTCCGGTAGTGGGATTGATCACTTATCTTGCACCCGATGGTACTGGATTGTTAATTATCGTCAGGCTTGTGATTCGACCGACTATCCTGGGCTATTTTATTTATGTGTGTTTTATCGAACCACCTGCAGGACGAGCAAGCCCGATGACCTTGCGGACTTGCTGCATTTACATTATCATATATCATGTGCTTTTAGCCATCAATACAATATGTCCAGAATACATTACGATCGAGGTGTGTTCGGATACACCTTACATAATGTTAGTTTGGGCCTCAGCCAGCCCACTTTTCATCTGGCGTTTGCTACGTGCCGACACAGAGTATTGGAGAGGAATGGGTCAACGAGCATGGGATTTACAACGCGTAAATCAGGATTCTGGACTGCACGTGGAATTTGACAAAAGGATCTCTTTTATACGCCATATCGTTTGACAGAAGAAGATGTAGCCGAATTTTCTCATGAGGCAGCGCTTTGTGCGTCATTGAATCATCCAAATATTGTCACTTTCTTTGGTATGTGTGTATGCCCTCCAACCATTTGCTTGGTGTCGGAGCTGTGCAAAGGATCGTTGGAAGATATTTTGTACGCTCAGACTAGAACACTCAGTCAACGTCGTACTACACGACATCTGTTTGACGTTGATGGTGAAGATAGTAGTGCAGAAATATATGACCAACAGAAAATGCTCTTAAAGATCGCATACATGCTTGACTGCGCTCGTGCTGTTGCATACGTTCATAGTTTCAATCCGCCGTTCCTGCATCGTGACATAAAGCCGGCCAATTTCTTAGTGGATAAAGAAAACACTGTCAAACTCACTGACTTTGGCGACTCGCGTCGTTTACCACGAAATTTGCCAAAATCGAACACCACTAGTGTCAGCAAACCAAAGGATCCTCGGAATTCCGGAGCTTTTATCCCTACGGATTCTCAATGCCAACCCCCACAGATCAAAATGACAGTTACTGGTACCGTAAGCTACATGGCACCGGAAATGATCGGATGTCGCACGGGCCTGGCAAGTTACGGGGAAGCTGCTGATGTATACTCGCTTGCCATCACATTTTGGGACATTTTGTACCCAGACCGCGAAAAATGTCCTGTCACCAACCCCATGCTCTTGTTTGAAGGGGTGCTGAGTGGCTGGCGTCCGCCACTTGAAGATGTAGATCCAACTCACAATGACGAGACAATTCCTTTCAAATTACGCGAAGTTATTACTTGTGCATGGCACAGCGACCCAAATGTTCGTCCAACAATGCCACAAATTGTACACATTTTGGAATGTATTCAGGAAGAGCTGCTCTCAGTATTCGCTCAAGACCTTAGCGATGACTTTGAAAAGTTGTACACTGGGTGTCAGATTGTTTCGTCTGACAAGTGCTTCACTGGCGAGTTTCTGATCAAACGAATGGAAGATTTGGCAGTCACAGAGTCGCGCGAGGAGGGTTTGCGTCTAGGACGCGCACTCATGGATGCTGGATTCTTGCATCAGCTTCACCATGCCGAAGGATTCGAAGGCAGCGACACTATTTACTTTTCGACGATAACAACATAAATTTCTGCCAGCCGTTAGCAATGTTGGAAGAAGCTGTTGGCATTGAGTCAGACGATGAGCTGCTTGCCTATCAAGCTCAGCCGAGAAGCGTTGAAGTTCGTAGATGTCCACAATTCTCAAACCACATTCCAAGTACTTTTTCATTAAACGGCCATCCATCAGGGGCCACAAGTAACGATAGAGAAACACAAATCTCGTCCTGTGCGTGCCGCTTACGTGGCCAAAGGCACAATCTACCAGCGAGCGGATCGGATCGGCGAAGTCATTCTAGACCTCGACAAAGAAAGCGGCACAAAGTCTCCCTTTCGTGTGGTTCACTGGAAAATATTAGCAACACTCGAAGCAGTTTCAGCTTTTTGACTTCTCTAAAATGGATGAGACAAAAGGATAGACGCACAGCAAAAAAATCTCTCATACAAAAACTACTCAATGACGCATCAGATCATGTGGTCGAGATAAGTGACTATGAAAGAAGAGAGTCTACGACACTAGCTCGACCAGCAGCGTAACTTTATTTGATTGAAAGCAATAGCTTTTGCCCACCTTTATTTTAAGTAAAATGACAACTCTTTTTCATTTCAATGAACGCGTTGTCCGCATCCTCTTGGCTGATTAATAAATTTTGTAATATGTCCTGACAGGTGTCCACGTCGGCACAGTAGTGCCTGTTATTTTGTTCATGATGGACCTTCATTGGACGGTTTTTTGTCTTTGTCTTCGGAGATGTGTATCGCGTGCCTTGCACAATAATCAACATTCGAGTGAGTCCCACGACATGAGATATCATCACACTCGGTGTTTCAAGCGACCAATCTCAACACATGCTGTATTACAAAACGAGCCGGGACAAGGCATCGCGATGTATACGCGCTTTCAAATGCATAGATCAGCGACATTCAAATAAAAACTTTTTTTTAAATGGTGAAATTCTGCCTGGACATCGTTAGTATGGCACCGTCAATGCGCAACAATATCATCGTGACATGTGGCTAAACATAGTCTTTGCAATCCAAAAGCAAATTCAACACCAAGCAAGCCGACCAGGCTTATATTGTATGTGTTGGGCAAAGCATGATACCATTATCTATTTATTAGCGAGGCCTGAGGCGACGATCGAAGTGACGTCTGATCTGTATCGATCTAAAACAGCTTTGAGCGTTCAAATAAACCCTGACGTTGATGAGGGTATAATTCGTTGCATGCCTCCCCTTGTCATGAGTCCGGAAAATATAATCTGCAGCTTAAATCAAACGATATCCCAATGGAATGGTCCATTTATGCCCATTGACATCAGCTTGAGGTAAATCAATGTCTTTAGCAAAGATAAGAGCGTTACAGACGACGCGAAATGGCCACGTGACGATCTCGTTGTCTTTAGATTCCTTACAATTATTCCAGGGGATTAAACCCTTAGAGACTTCCCGATTTCTTACTTCCTATTGCTACGACTTCCCCGGTTGCTACAATCATGGGTGGACAGATTGTACTTTTACAGCGTGTGAAAATGAGTCATTTTGGGACTGTACCATCTAGTCGCTACTTTATGTCATTTCAATCCGCATGTTTCTTTTGGAAATCGCGACCACACTCCCTTTGTTCCGTTGTATTGGAAAGATTATATGCGAGGTTAGCTCACAACTTTAAATATTTATTAAAAAAGTGAATGCTAGAGACCGTGCGTGTGCCGATAGTCTGAAAAATTAAGGTTCACAGGCGGTTGACACTTTTGATCTTTCCCAAGGCTCTTAGCAAATTTTGTGCTGAGGGTAACCCATATCCTGCGACAAAGTTGTCGCTGCTTTACAACCGCACTAGAACTATTTCTGCTTGAGTAAGGGATGGACGCTTGGTTTGACAAACTCTTTCATAAAATAGGCATAAGGCGTAATAAATCCGTGGCTCATGGCGTTCAAACTGAATCCAAAACACGGGCTGATCCCGAATATAAAACCAAGCTGATTTCACGCTGTCAATGTCAGAAAATTGTACACGAATTTATAGAGGTCGACACCTTTGGAAGTGAGTGCCCGACTGCGAGATATTATCCGCGGTCGTGACAGCTAGCACCTTAAAATTCATTTAATGGTCTCGTGTTGCACGTGATTGCACGAAAGATATGAACGTTAGGTCTTTCCGTGATTTTTTTATAAAGTCACGACCTTGATGGTAACGACCAACAACCCTGCACTGCGAGCCTCACCTCTTCAAAAGAGACCCCCTTTATCAGGAGTGATGTTATTTAATTATTTTGTATTTGATATCCTGATGGGTCGAGATCCCTTCAGGAGATTGGTTTTCATCGCCACTTTGTCCTCTTATTACTACATCTCGACGGTTCGCCACAACCAGTCTATAAGCCGACCCTACGTAGTAGCCAGCCCACCAAAGCCTCACAAGCGAGAGCAAGGGAAATCACCAGCGTAAAAAGATAGCTGAGGGTATGCAAGGAGTTAATGCTATGACCGCCCGTATATGCTGCGTATGTGTACCACATCGGTGCTCAGCAGCTAACTCTCCAGTAAAAGTTCACCCCTCTCAACTTAGTAGATTGTATCGCCTCTCGTGCGCTCAAAGTGCTTTCGCCTTCCGCGCCCAAAACAACCCTTCTCGGCTTGAGTGTTACGCTAATCGCTTTCTCGAAATAGGTAAGGCAGACGCCGAAACCCGCGCCTGTCGGTGATCCTCAAATGATCACGCTACCTATTCGTTACAGCGTCAGCCACCCCCTCAGATATGAAAATTGACAGCTCTTGACATAATCTGCGTAATCTTAAACCTCGTGGCAAACATTCAAAATTCTGACCACACGTGGTAGGATGCAGTGGGGCTGCAGTAGCTCTTTGTTTAGAGGAAACTAAGCAGAGCTCACCGACCTTTCGTTCTTTACATAAACCGGAACGAGTGTAGCGGTTCTCAATCCGCTTACTTCAAGTACTAAAGCCTTACGAAGGTAGACGAACAGTTCTGGTCAAAATTGAAAAAAGTATTTATCGTATTAGTTGCGGCAGAATTGCCAATATCCCAGACCCTAGATTTTCCTTTTAAATGCAGTAATACCTTATTAATATGGCAAAACCTTATTAATATATTAATATGCATTACTACTGGCAATCCTGCTGGTGGCTTCTTGTTACGGTGTAGCCTCACCACTGTGTGATTGTGTAACACACACCTTTGCACGGTCACACAATCTTGTGCGACCCGCCCTTTCTTACAAGGGCACATTTCACCCCGTTACACAGGAGATGAGTTCATCTTACCACCAGTTTAAACCGTGGCTGGACTCGTAAGACGAAAAGATTCTCACGTCTTGATAAATAATCGATTTGATGTAGTCGCGGCTATTCCTATGAATTTACACGTGGTCAAAATCTTGTACAGCGATGGAGATGATGCAGCTCAGCTGTCGCGATTCATCGAGACTTGAAGGTTATCTTTCTCTAAAGCGAGCTTGCATCAGACAAGACACCACCCCTCTGAGTTGTTGTGGTTAAACAACAGCGCGGAGTAGCGGCCCTGAAGTACTCATTGTATTGCCTTTTCACATTTGCCACAGGTTCGTTTAAACATGATATGTCAAAAGATTACGTTTATATGGGATACTAGCTGAGTAAAAATGGAGTGCACGTATTCTGATAGCACATTAAGTAGTTGACACGCTGTCCAAACACATAGTATCCTCCAAAAAAACGCTGGTGCATTTGCAGCCTGGCTATATGTTGTGCTTTACTAGAGGGATGTTGCAGCGCTGCACCCCGTTCGACTCCCTCGGCAGCTCCCAGTTACGAGTGTGGCTTTAGTACTGTAGTTCTACTATCTGTCAGCTAAACAAAGACGGAACGAAACTCTGCCATTTCAATGAATACACTGATTCTTTTACCTTTCTCAAAGAAGATTGTGCGGAAAGAATACAATAACAGAATGATAAAGTATCGATTCTGTAGAAATCGTTCGTTTTTTTCAGTCGTATTTACTTTCCACATATTGTCCGTGCTTGGACCAGAAGTTTCTTGAAATGGCTGTGAGACTGTTTTAGTGTCTTATACTATTTATCGATAACGTTCAAGAAGTCATTCAAAACCTTATAGAATTTGAGCATACTCATTTTACTCATCTATCCTCCTTTATTGGTCCCTCAAACTTATAGCCTAAACATGCGCCTAATCTTTACCAAAAATGGCACTACTGCGCGAATATATGCTTGAGCTTTTTGTAAAGCAGTCACCTTTCACAGATATTATCGCGAGTTACCAGTCCTCATCGATCGATCACATAAATTTGGTAATTGATGACGTCTAATAACTTCAATCAAATGCAAATCCTCCCATACCAGCACGAAGTGAGAAGTGTTCATTCCTTTGAATGGCAAGAATGAATCTGAAGATAATAGAGATTTGGTGTAGAAAGTACAAGGGAAGTTATCGTATGAGTCAGCGCTATGGGCCCTCCATTCGTGAGTTGGCTTTCGATAGCCAATATGGAAGGCTTATTGTCCGACGGTCATACAATTGGTGTGTACAAAATAATTTCGCCAATATTAGCTCATAAACTGAGGACTATTCAGTCTTCGCTCTCGTGTCCATCTTTTTTGAAACGTATAAAATTTACTGATTTACTATGGTTGAGCTTTTGCGATATTCAGCATTTTAAGAGGTTGCTATGCAGTTAAGTCGGCACGTTAATCGTGAGTTGACAGTTAGATCAATAGGCTGATTCTCATTTGTGTATCATATTCTTCTGATGCTTCTACTGAACGTTAAGTAATTGAGAATTAACATATACATAGATTAACTCTCATCCAATAGCTTTTCACAAGTTGGGCTGTTCGATGACTGTCTCTTTACATAACACGCGACGAGCGTGGGCTCTGAGTCAAATTTTGCGGAGAAGGGCTCTGCAGCTCAAATGATACGTGGTGAGGCTTTTGACGGCCCGGTCGATATTTTCTTCGAGGATGGAACATGAGATTTTTATTTACCTAACCCCTCGGCAAAAAGACAAGCATAAGAAGCCCCTGTCTTTAGCTGATATGGAATAGCGCGATCGGTGTCCCGAGCCTAGAAGCCTTTAGCATCGCTTCAAGCTGCAACGAAGCGCTGACGACACAGAACCCCCGAAAGCTGAATCTGATGTCGGCGGTAGGACCACCAAGTCCAACTGAGATCTAAAAGCAAATTTGCTCCCGGTAAGTGTTAGGACATTCAACAACAACGACGGAACAAATAGCCTTCTTCGTACCCAGGAGGTTACGATGGTAATGGTCTAAACCAAGATTCAAAATGAGCAGTATCATGTCACGCTCTCACCGCGTGTGATCGAAGCTCTTTCCTACTCTTCGAGGGAAGACGGAGCTGCGGGGCTACCCCTAGGAGCTAAGAGCTATAGTAGTCAAGATGTCGGCTGACGCTTCATACTCATGAGGTGTTATCCGATCAGACGCAGCCCACTCAAAGAACTGTGCCGTACCACAAACCGATTTTAGGCGCCCCTGGCTACACTTGCGCACTTAGTGCACTGAAAATTATACATGATGAGTACGTGTTGCCTGGGGTGCGATATGAGCGCACCAGACGCTATAGAGCTCAATCAAACTGCTTTTGACCATCGTTAACCAAAACACCTTGGTAAATGAAGTTGTTTCATCCGAAGAAATACAAATTTGACCTTGCGCCCTCTTCGCTCTTGATCAAGAGGTATTAAGGGTTTAGCTTCCAAGCAGCCACTCAACAGACTCCAATGGAAAGTTTTGGGTCACAGTAAGCACGGGAGGTCATCGAGAATAACAAAGGTTGATTGAACCTCGCGATGGTAAATCTCAATGAAACTAGGTCCTAATCAAGATTTTTTAGAGGAATGAACTTGCAAATCGTGTTTTCCTGATGCTGACTTTTGTCCGCCAATCTTTTTACAGAAAGCCCTGATCAATTCGGGGTAATGCACAACAACGTGCTACGAGTATATTCGATTTTCGCGCGGTGTTAGCATACTTATTAAGATTCTTTCAAGCTTCCATACATGTTTCAGAGTTTTGATTCTGATTCTGTTTGCTCTCAAACCCAGATTTGCCTAAGATCTCATTTCAAGTATCGTATGGTGAGAATGCTTTGAGCTATGGATCGACTAAGAGTCGAAGACATATAGATGCTAACCACTTCTCGCCTAGTGAACATTGCCTAGGACATAAAGCAGGGGCAGCATTGGTGCTTGACATGGAATCTTTTAGTAGCACAGATGTTAAGATCCCTAAGCAAATCTCGAAAGGCATAGGCTATTCGGGGCCACTGACTCAACAATGACATGTCGATACAAAATAAGCAGCCGTATGTCGCGGTACCCATTAATAAAGTGACCGGAAATTTTTTGGATGATGTTAGTATCTTCATATCACCCCTGGTAAGCGTTCGTATAGATTAGTGTAATCTTTGTGAATGTGCGTGAAAATCTAAAGATGGTGATAGTCGAGTTGGTACGGCTAGATAACGAGATATAAAGTAATCTTATTCCACAATGTGCGAAAGTGTATCAGTTTTCAATCGAGTCTTTTATTCCTTTTTGAGGAAAAAGCCAGTATGTGACGCAAAAACATACGCGCCTTCAGGGGAAAGCGTCATGTCATTAGCTCGGATATTGTGTCCGCAAACTCCTTGCTTATGCCAAAGACCCTTCAAAAAGAAAATGCCATATCATCGACGTTTTCTATGTGCAAAGCACGAAGTGGGTTTGGTGAGAGATGTTAGATCCCTCCGATATTTGTGCCAGAAATGTCGAGGGAATGAAGCAAAGTGTGCATTCTTTTAATAAGTAGATGCGGCCATATATTTTGCGCAAAAGTTATAACCTAGAACATATATCCTGCAGAACAGTGTCACCGGATGTCTATTGAATATTGCTTTCAATTTGGTCAATAAATGTTGCTAACAGCTCAAACAACTTCGTGATACACCCCTGACTACAGTGAGTACCCTAGGAATGGCCAACGCACAGCGACGTTTAACTGTCTACTACCGCAACGAATTAGGCCTCATATACATAAACCTATGCGCTCCTCCTTATTCGCGACGAGCATATGATATCAATTTATTGATCGCCGCAATCTACTTTTGCGCGCTAGTTGGCCGTTAGCCAATGTAGACGAAGGCTGACGACACACTCATTTTTACGATGCTTCATTTCGAAGCATATCGTAGGTCAAATTTTGCGAAGATTACGACAATAGTATATCAGTGACCCCGGTAAGGTTCTCAAAACGGCTTGGCTCGTTCAACTACCTGCACGAGTTCAGCGCAAACCGTGCCAATAAACACTCCTCTCGTAAATCATTTTAAAGTGTGCTCGGCGATGTTCTAGCGCAAGAAACTAGACCGCTTTCGATACAGGCGATAGACATCCTTTGCCGGCCATTTTTACGGACGATACATTTTTTGGTATATAAGACGTCTTGTCTATTGCATTGATTATGTTTACCTCATCTTATGGACATGATTGCATCATTCTATCTTAGTCAAGCTAACTTAATTAGACAGAAACATTATGGCAAAAGTTTGTAGTTTGTACTATATACAAGTTGTGTTACGCTATTAAAGGAATTGAGGTGCGAGGATTTCAAGCTCGTATATCACTTAAACAAAATATTTGCGAGCGCATTAACACTGCTCTTTTTTGTTTCAGGCTTTTTGTATGACGAATTGGCTTGGCGCACAACCCGCATATGTAAAGTATGATGTAGACCTCATAGGACAAGTTTTTTATGAGCCACATGAGACTCCATCAAAGTCAAAATCAAACGTGCTAATTAGCGAGCATATGTACAGGTGGATCGAGACGTACGGATGGATAATCTCTTATGTTGTAAGAGTAAAAACGTATCAAGGCTACCACCCTGCAGCATTTTCTGTGGATTTCACCAGCTTGTTGGCTTTGGCAGCGTGACAGCAAGCAATTAGTACGCATTGTCATGCGCTGGACCCGCGCTTTCAAACAGAATTTTGCTGTGCTTTGTACAACATGCTCAACCCCATATCACGTTCATTCACAGCATACCACCCACTAAACGTGATGTCGATTTTTTTATAATATTCATCAACGCATGAAGTGTCCGAAGTCATCAGGACGAAGTTGTGCTCTCGTACATTATGCAGCGGGGCTGCCGTAGCTTTGCGCTTTGAGGAAGCATAAGTTAGGTCACCGAACTCTCGTTCTATACTCGAAACAAGTACGAGTTTAGCGAATCGCAATCCGCTAACTTCAAGAGTAATTATAGCCTAAGCCCAAGGCTAATTAAAACTTCCGTTTAAACTCAGAGCTGACTTTATTTATTTTTATCTGCGGCAAAGCCGCCTAATTCTAAATGCATAGATTTTCTTAAATATGTATAGTAAAATCAAAATACATGTATAACTACTGGCTATCCAGCCCCGTACCGTATTCTGGTTTGGGTGTGGTCATGCCATGCCCATCTGGTGTGACACACACACCTGTTACCAGGGTGTGTAAAATCCCGTTACACTCTCCTCGATTAAGATTGAGAATATTTACAGCTCCAATCGATAATTGCCTCAACGAGGCTTGTGTGTCCGTTAGACACTGCGTTGGAAAAAAATGACTTCCGTGCCCAATGGTCCCTCTGTCAGTGACACCCAAGTCTCCGAGTCTCGCTGGTTCCAACAGCGCTCACGGGCTGAGCCCAGCTTCATCTCCCGCACACGGTGCCATGTTGGACCGTGTCTCCGTGGCATCGAGGGATGTAAATCCTAGGCTCGATGAGCACGAGCGTCGAACTCCGCGCACGCTAACGGTGACGAGTGACCGCGTAGGTGATCTGAAGGTGGTCGACTACGAGTCTGACACTCCTTTTCCCGGATAAAATGACGAGGAAGGCGAGCCGCACCAGCGG